GAACGGCAAACAGAACATGATGGAGGCAAAATGGAACACAGACAAAAAAAATATGGCTTGTCTCTTTTTTCTGACAGCCAAATGGACACAGGCTGTCCTCGGACAAATCACCTTGGTAAGTATCTTTTGAGACTGATCTGCTGAGGAGGATACTGTGCTCTTAGAACTGCCAAAATCAACCTGCTTTGAGTATAGAAAAGGCTACCATCTGCTCCTCTGCAACATCTCTGACTGGCAGTCACACCTCAGTAACAGATAGTCCAAATTGTTAATGTTTACAATGGTAATCTGAACACTTACCACTAGAGGCAACCTATTTTTAGAAAACCACTTTTCCCTCAAGCTAGAACTGTTTAATAATTGGTACTCGCCAAGTAAAGAAAGAATCCAGCAAACTGCCTAACACATTGCAGTGTGATAATCTCAGGCAAAGCCTGATTCAGTGAGAACCATTAATCAGTCTGAGAGAGACTTGGTAAGCAGGAACAGCATCTGTGTAATCACTTACAGCTCATTTAGTTGACAGCCAAGCAGATGTCCTGTCACATAGCCCTATGGATATTTTAATCACAATAGGTTTATTTCTGTACTTTATCAAAATCCACTGCATGTTGAATTGCCAGCTCCTCAGCCTTTGGGAAAGAACTTTTAGCACCAGGTTTCACTCCACTCTCAAAGATTACCACTGAGTTGCTCTGAACCCAACTCACGGTTTTGCACAGAAACCGAACCTAAATACAGGTATTTTGTGGAAAATCACTAAGTTGTAAAAGAAAAGTTGTGAGGGGTAGGCATCACAGCATTTATGTAGCAATACATCATATATATCGTTTGATCCACTCACAATTGTCAGAAAATTACAGTGACTAGAGAATAAGCAATAAACAGATTACTCTGATTTCACAATCCAGTTGAAGGGCCTGAAGCAAAAGCCTTAGATTGTGAGACCTAGAAGAAAAGAAGTAACTCATCACTACCTCTTAGCTGCTCAATATGGCTTCCTTTAGAAAGCCTCCTTTGTCATGAAGTTGATGCCACACACGATCTTCAATGACTTAAACTTCACAAGATATATACTATTCATGCATAGGTAATTACCTAGGTGACTTGCAGTCCTTACTGTATGACTAGAAAAGATACCCCACACAGTAGATTTGGGAGAATCTTTTTAAGGCTGCATGTTATTATAGCACAGATCCTGAAACCTAGGAAAGGCATTCAAGCTATTTCTGACAAAGCATCCCCAAGGCCTAAGTGCATGTTTGCTAAATGTCACCAGTCATCAGAGGTCTACCACCTTTAGAGGTCTAGAATCTACAGCTTTGCAAGTGTTTTCATCTAA